TACTTGAGCCCATCAATACTATAGGAAGTCGTTCTCCACTTGAAATTGGAAAATGAAAAGCCGTGCCCTTTTATTTTATTTTTAAACTTTCAATTGGCATTCCATTTTCTTGGTTTTCCTGTCCATATATTTTAGGAATCATGCCAACGAAAACTCCCTTTTCTTTTAGGAACAAGAGAGAGCAGTATTTTTTTTTCTTTTCAATTTGTCTTCTTTTAGGACCCAACTTTTCTTGTCCAGAAATTTTAGGACATAAACTCCTCAATCCTGAAATTTGAGTTCTTCTCAAAGATTGACAGCTCAATGAAACCAAGTTGGAAACGAATCAAAGACTACCTTCGGAGGTCTATATAAGGACTCATTGCGATGCATTATATTTACACCAACTCTTCGAGTCTTTCCTTATTATCTTTGTGACAGAACTTTCCTGGCAGCTTGGAGAACTTGCAAGAGAAAATCTATAACTTGTTGTAGGAGCACCTGAATCTTAAACGGTTTGTGGAGCTGGAACGCAGACTCGCGGAGCCTCGACATATCCGAAAATCACGATCACATAGCTTGTAGATTTGTTCAGGTAATCTCTTCGAAATCAGGTTCTTACTTCGAATTCGCTAATAGTTTCAGAATCGCGCGTCGTCACGAGAAACTTAATAACCTTTTGAAGGGATACCGAAATCATGAACGGTTTGCGGCACTGGAAAGTAGACTCGTGGAGCTTCGACATATCTGAAAATCACGACCATAAAGCTAATAGATTTATCCAGGTAATATTCTGAAATTCAGAGTTAAGATCCTGCTATATTGCGTCTCCAGATTTGCACTCGCTCACTAGATAGTTTGTATCTTGACGTAGGAAGCCCGAAATCAAGCACTTCTTGATCCTTTGAAGATTAAACTTCAGAGACTACTTTTACACCAAATACTAACACTTCAATTCATCGTGTGCTGGTTTCTATGATTTCTTTTAGAGTTAGCTGCAGGATCTGATTTTTTTATTTCAGTTTTGCACATGCTTCACGAATTTTAATCTTCTTCCTCGATTCCTTTCGTGCAGCGTATACAACCTTGACTTCCGGCAATCAAGATGCAATTTCATGACCATAATAAGCCGCACCCTCATCTTGAAATCACGAGCGATGAGCAAAATCAGTCCGATAAGGTTCTCTCTTTGGCAGTTCATCCTCCAGTGATCGGTTCCTTCCCTCTTGTTAGAAAGCTGCCTACCGCATCTCTTCATCTTACAGAATGGTGGACAAGGGAGGCCAAATATGTTATGGGCAAATTTTCGGGCGAGGTCACTAATATAAAGGTCCCTATTTTGAGGTCCACAATTCATCGGGAAGTCGCGCCGTCTAAATTTTCTCATCGTGATGGATGCTTCCACACTTGGAATGTCTCCCCTTCTGGCTTTGGCAACGTTCTCTACACACCCGGCTACTGGGAGTGGGTAGAAGATGTTCTCCCCCGCCACAAAAATTTTTTGGAAGATCTGAAGGTCTACGATGCCATATATGCTTCATTGTTTACGTATGATTATAACGACAACGTGCTTCAGGCCTTTTGTGAGCTTTGGCGTCCTTCCATCAACACACTTGCTACCTTCATTGGAGAATTATCTATATCTTTATGGGACCTGCGAACCATTGGAGTCCTTCCCGTGCATGGGTCCTTTTATGACGAAGTAGTTCCTTCGGCGAAGGAGTTGACATAAATGGACCATCAAGCGAAGCCATTCCTCCCAGAAAGCTGCTTATACTTGTTTTCAGCGTTCCACAGACTTGCAAAAGGGGAATTTCATGAGGTCTTCGTCTGTGATTGGGTGGGGTTCTAGTTTAGAGGGCCGAGCAGGTATGCTAAGCCTCTGCAAAAGACGTCGAAGGTGCGGACCACCAAGCCGAGGCAGAATCATAATCCTTCGGGACGTATAGACAAAACCTTCTTACCACGAATAGACGAGGAGAATGCCCCCTTTATCGAGATAGATGTGGAGGAGTCTCTTATAAATGAGACTAACTTGGCGGCTTTCCTTGCATGTTGGCTCTGTAAGTTTGTGCTTCCAAATAAGAAGGGTGACCACGTTCGTGCTAGTGTTTTCAAAGTTGCAAGCTTAATGGCTCATGGAGTAAAATTCTCTTTAGTTGTCCCGGTCCTTGCTAGCATATATCGTGGCTTGAAGGAGATCTCCACTTCCAATGACCTGATTGCAAGTGATGTAATTTTTCCCATACACTATGTGTATGGCTGGATGGTAGAGTATTTTGAGACCTACCACCGTGCTAATCACACGCACCGAAGTTTACCCTTATGCAAAATTTCATGCGAGAAAATGGCTAAATATTTCAACCTTTCTGATGCTCGAAGGTTGTTCCAACGTGATGATGCCCGTCAACTCCACCATTTGGCATTGTTGCGTGGCAAAGAGTTACACTTTACAGACAATGGCAAACTTTCAGATTCGTTCAGCGAATTTTTTATATCTCTTCGCTCTAGCTATCTCACCCTTAGGCATGATGATACTTTTATCGTGGAGTCCTACAGCCCTCACAGGTTTAGTAGGCAATTTGGTTTTTGCCAAGACATCCCTGGAGATCTTATGGAGCAGCCCTATGATGGTACGTTGCAGGCACTAGTGCAACTTTGGGATTCATCCACACGTCTTGGAACCTTCTCAAAATTCATTGTTCCAGTACATCCGATAAACGATGTGCCTTTAGTGACTCGTGAGTACATAGACTGGTGGCCAATACATCGACTAGATCCTTCAAAAAAGAGCCCTCATATTGTTTCGACAAGTCCAAGGCAAGATCAAGTGCATGTGCGATCCAAAGGGGTCCCGAGTCGACTGAAAGTAAAGCTAACTTCTCCTTCTTCCAAGCCTAAGACGAAGTCAAATGATCTTCCGCAAGCAGCCCAGACCCTTTCCACGTCCAAAGTCGTGAAGGATGTGGATGCACCGGTGAAAAAGAAAGTTAGGCGACTTTCATTGGCCTTGAAGACAATTACTACTACCCCCAAGGTATCCAGCGACTCTTGCAAAAGGAAGAAGCACCTAGTTTCGTCAAACCAGGGCAGTGATAGAGAGACCAGCCTTGTGCCACTTTGTGAAGAGAAAAATCATCTTCCAGTCCAATAGAGAGTGAATCCAGCGAAGACCACCATTGGAACCGTCCGAACAAGAAGGCGAAGGAGTTGGGTGACGACTGTTGCGGTACTGCTATCTTAGATACCATCATTATTGAGGATGATGCCTTTGTGGATGAGGATACGGGCTTAACAATGCATTCCCTGAATTACCAGAACAAGTAGAATTCTTTCTGTTTGTATTCCTATTACTTTATTTACTTTTTTTTTCTTTTTTCTTTTTTTGAATACTAACAGCTTTTTCTTCTTCTATATATTCTTTTTAGTCAGATCTTCAAGAATTATGAAATGATGAGCTTAGGGGTGACATTATTGAGGATTGCTTTGCCGACATAGATGATCTTGGTATGACTGCAAAGAGCTCCCACAAGTCACCAAATGGTTCTAAGGATCATGGTATGGGTGGAGCTTCTTCAGTGGAGTTAATTCCACCTAGAAAGCCATATTCTTCTTCTCCGGTTCATAGAAAGTTTATCCAACCAGCTGTGATGAGTGAAGGTGCGGCTGCTACAACTGAGGTCATGCACCCGAAATCGTTCAGGCCTTCCTTATGGCCATTGCAGCCTGGTGCTTCAAGCAAAGAGCTGCATGAGACTATTTGTCGTGCCAAATCGACTTTTGTTTCTGTGATGTGGCGTGGATTGTGCGAGTGGATCAAGGAGTTCTCTGTAGATTCCACGGACAGCTTTATGAAGTTGGAGGAAAGTATTAGTTTGACTCTTACGGAAATACAAAGAGAGAATATCATTGATATTTCTACTTTGGAGGATCCAGTTGAAGCTTTCTTCAAGACTTATACAGAGTATGATGCTTTAAGATCGTCCAAGATGAGTAAATAATTACACCAAGATTCACTCTCTAACGCACAACAACGCCTCGATGATGTGAAGTTGGAATATGGGAAGGCAAATGAGTCCGCTGAAAGACTTCAAGTGGCTCTTGCGAGTGTCGAGACACAATTAGCAGCCCTGACCTCTAAAAAGAATAAGATCACCGTGCTCCTGAATAAACAATAAGAGAAGCTGTCCAAAAGTCAACAGAAAATCACCGTTACCGAAGGCGAGATTTATACCATTGAGGCGAACGTTCCGTTGTCGGATGATGAAGCAGAGAAATTGTCCCTCTTGAAAGATGCAGTTAAAATGAGTCTCCAGAAAATCCTTAGCTTCAAACCTTTTCCATAGCTTTAGATTTTTTTATTTATTTTTATTTAGGGCCCCCTGCCTCTTTCCCTTTTTTTTTAGACGGATATCATGTATTGATATTTCTTTTCTTAGCGCAATAAAAGTACTTTCTTTTTTATTTGCACTGTCCCATTGAATTTTGAGTTTCCTGTGAATTATGGCATGGATGAATTATACAGGTATATCGAGGTTAATCGAGAAAAACTAACTGGTATCATAGTTCTGAAACAGTTTATTTCTAAAACATATGACGCTCGGATTCTTTGCTTGGCCGATTCTCCGTCTTTACACTTTTGTATAATTCCCATTTTTGGTGTGTTGTTGGTTAGAATTGCACCCTGTGTTTGTTAATCGCTGCTTCCTGATGCTACTAAGAAAGGTCATTGAACTACCAAAGTTGCTTTTTCAGATTCTTTGCTCTGTTGTTGGAGACATTGCCGAATGAAACGCTGCTACACTTTTTAGCGTCGCAATACTTGAGCTCGATTTCACATCTTTTGGCTTGAAACGCTGCTGCACTTTTTTAGCGTCGCAATACTTGAGCTCGATCGGCTATGTTTACTGCATAATGGTAAGTTATTTTGCCGATAGTGTTCAAAGTTGCTGCGCTGCTTTAATTATGTTTCTTAGAAGAATTTCCTTTGTTTTTATTTTTATAGTTCAGTTTCTACTGCATTGGAACAGATGAAGGTTTCTTTGTTGCAGCCAGCTACTCATGGAGGCTTTAGTCGAATGACCATTCCCAAACGCGAGCCATGGACTCCATTCGGTGACAAACATATTTAGGTGACTCTTTACTGAATGCACGTATTTGATGACTTCTAACTGGACGACTTGCTGACATGTTCTTTAGGGACTTCGCAGTGCGTCCATTTGTATTGAAAGCCTACGCCAAGTTCAGAAAATAGTACACAACAAAAGCTTCATGATATGATGCTAGAGAGGTAGTGAAGATCACGTGTGGCAGAGTTATTTTCTATTACAACATGTGTCATTCACTTCATGCACCTTGAAATTCCTTCCGTGTTGGTCCAAGCTGATTCCTGAAGTTAATCTTTAAGTCAGATTTCAGACCAAAATTCCTTCTGGATTAGTTGCAGTAGTTTCTTAAATTTGTTCTAACTGCAGTAACTTTACAGGTTTGCATACTTTCAGCGTAGAACATCATATCCCGAGCTAGGAGTGTCAGAATTTTGATCCGTCTATGTTGTTAGGAAGTAAACTTAGAGACCTTCAACATGTATGCATTTCATATTAGGACTCCTTCAAGGCTGTCAATAGAAAATTCTCCAAGTCGACCTTACTGCAGTAAACTTTCCAATTCGCGTACTTTCAGCGAGAAACAATGTATCTTGAGCTAGAGCAATCGGAATTGAAATCCGTTTGCTCCGTTAGAAAGAAAATTTAGGGGCTTACAACTCATATTATTTTCATAGCAAAACTCCTTTCGGACTGTCAACAGAAATTTTTTGAAATTGGCCTAACCGCAGTAAACTTTCCGAGTCGCGTACTTTCAGCGAAAAATAATGTATCTTGAGCTAGGGGAATCGGAATTGAAGTCTGTTTGCTCTGTTAGAAATTACACTCAGAGTCTTACAACTCATACATAGCAAAACTCCTTTCGGACTGTCAACAAAAATTTTTTGAAGTTGGCCTAACCACAGTAAACTTTCCGATTCGTGTACTTTCAGCGAAAAACAATGTATCTTGAGCTAGGGGAATCGGAATTGAAATCCGTTTGCTCTGTTAGAAGGTAAACTCAGAGTCTTACAACTCATATGATTTCCATAGCAAAACTCCTTTCGAGCTGTCAACAGAAAATTCTTGAAGTTGGCCTAACTGCAGTAAACTTTCAAACTCGTGTACTTTCTTTTGTATAGTGGATCCGAATTGCGATATGTCTGGCCCTTTGGCATCTTACCTTCGAAATCCATGGTAATGCCGAAGATGAAGACCGAGTTCATCATTGAAGAGCGAGAACGTGGCACCTCTCATCGGATTGGCGCGGAAGAGGCTTGGAGTTGGAGCAATTGTATTCTTCTATGCAAGCGCGCATGTGGCGAAACTCATGATTCTTGCAGATTGGCGCGGAACAGGCTTGGAGTTGGCCTTTCCAACTTCGGCGAGCAAGCACTCGGTGCATCTCTGCTACTTTGACTTCATAGCATTTCATGCTTGCATTGAAAAAAAACTGTATCTCGACCTAGGAGTGTCCAAACTGCAATCCGTTTGGTTCTGCAGAATCAAAACTTGCAACAGGATAAGTCGGAATGAACCTTTGAAGGCGATGCAGCAATCTGTCATTTCAGCTTCACAGCACTGCTTGCTGAAAATATCGCGGCAGAACTCCTTTTAGATTGGTCGCGATATTATTTTGAATTCGCTCCTGATGTCCGCCTTGCATTTGTTTCTGCTTTGCGCACTCCTGTCGAATGATTCATATCTCGAGCTAGGAGACTCCGAATTGAGATCTGTTTGCACCGTCAGAAAGTACCCTCAGAGATCTGCAACACCTATGAGTTTCGTGGCAGAACCTCTTTCCGAGCTAGAAACAGAAATTTCTCAAAGTCCACCTAACTGCAGTAACTTTCAGATTCGTGTAGTTCCGGCGAAAAAATCATATCTTGAGCTCGGGGCCTCCAAATTGCAAATGGTTTGTGTTATTACAAACTAGACATCCAAATCTACAACATATGAAATGTTAGGAGCAGAATGTCTTCAAGATGGACTGCAGTAGTTTTCCAAAGTTGATCCCGTCGTCTGTCGAGCTTGCTTTCTAGCTCTATGCTCTCTGAGTTGCCCTACAAATATTTTTTCCTTCTTGAAATTGACTCTACAGTCTTGCATGTAGTAGCTTGGCTATATGCGTCAAAATTCTTATCTCTTCATTTATTTCTTTTGCAGACTCGCAAAGAAGCTCAAAGAGTTCGGATATCATATCGAGGTATCATACAAGATGTGGAGTCACCCCTTCACCAACTATTGCACTTGATTTATTAATAGTCTTGAAGTTCATCAATGGCGGCTCCCATGGTGATTGGGACCTTCAACCAACAATTGAGGATGGCATCAAATGTGGAGACACCATACAGACTTGGAAAAGCATTTAGACATGTCAGCAACAAAGCCTAGTTTACGATCATCTCCATGATTTAGGCTTTTGTATAGAAAAATGTCTAATTCCTATTGTCTCTATATTTTTTTGGATGTATCAACTTTTGTACTATTGAAGCTATAAGACATCTTTTATACTTCAACGCAAATCGTCTCATTTTCCTCATAGATATATGCATCTACACTAGGTAGAATTAATGTAATGATCCGATGATGCCAAACTTTTATTTTTTGAAAACTCATGCGACTGAACTTAGAATCAAAGTCTAAGCTGCCTACGTACCTCGGTGAAGAGGATCAAGTCATAACGTAGTTCAAAGGGATGAGTTTTTTTTTATTTTTATTTTTGCCTAGGTCGCCTCTTTCGAGGTTTTCAACCTAGCAGACTCTTTTTTTTGCCGTACACAGTTTAGACTCATGCGGGTCAGGAGTATAGCAATGTGCAGTTTAAGCTCATGCATCAAGGAGCATCATGACTTGCAGTTTAGGCTCGTACGTCGAGGAGCGTTGCAACTTCAAGGATAGTGCTTTTTCAAAATCTTGCCATTGATAGGGCCGATTCTCATGCCATCTGCATCAACCAGCTTGTATGCCCCACTTGAGTAAGATTCTTGTACAACATATGGCCCATCCCATTTTGGAGTGAACTTCCCTACAGGTTTATGGGAAGTAATTATGGGTCTTCGTACGGCAAGGACTTGATCTCCTACTTGAAAGGATCTCGGGCGAACTCTTTTATTGAAGGCGCGAGACAATCGAGCTTGATAACATTCAAGACTCTGTTGAGCTTCCAACCTCTTCTCATCAAGAGCCTCCAACTCTGCTAATCGAAGTCGAGCATTTTCTTCATCAGTGATCCCTTCTTGAATATCCAGTCGTAATGAAGGTATTTGATGCTCAAGTGGCAAGACGGCTTTGACTCCATAAACGAGCGAATAAGGAGTTGCTTGTGTTGGCGTGCGGTGAGTCGTCCTATATGCCCATAGAGCTTCTTCCATACGGTCATTACAATCTCGTTTGGATTTGGAAACGACTTTCTTTAGCAAGTTGCATAGAGTTTTGTTGAATGCCTCAGCTAGACCATTGGCCGCAACATTGTACATCGAAGAGTTACGTTGCTTGAAGCCAAAGAGATCACAAACCTTATTCATCAACCTATTATCGAATGGCTTTCCATTATCCGTTATTATGTAACGAGGAATGCCAAAGCGATAAATAATGTTTACTCAGATGAAATTTGCAACATTTTCCCTTTTTACTTCCTTAAGAGCAACAGCTTCAGCCCATTTTGAGAAGTAGTCGGTTGTAGCCAGGATGTATAGGTGCCCGCCAGAGGACTTTGGCAGTGGTCCAACAACATCTAATCCCCAAGCGTCAAACGGCCAGGATGCCACAGTCGGGTGCAACACTTCAGGAGGTTGATGAATAAACTTCGCGTGGAATTGACAAGCCTTGCATCTTCGAGCGTAGTCCAAGCAATCTTTTACCATCGTTGACCAATAATATCCCATCCTTTTTATATGGAAGTGGAGCTTTGGTCCAGAATGGTGTGACCCACATACCCCAGAATGCGCTTCTTGCAAAGCTTGGAGTGCTTCATCTTCCCCTAAGCATCGCAAGAGTACTCCCTCGAATGATCTTCTGTATAGGGTATCTTTGTAGTAAAGGAAGCGAGGTGCACGACGACGGATTTCAGTTCTTCTCCGCAGATTTTCTGGAAGTATCCCATAACACAAGTAGTCGATAATGGGTTGTCACCATTCCTCTTTCTCGACTTCAGAAACAGCAACAAGATGCTTGAGTTCATTTTCTTCACCTTCAGCCTCATTTGGCGGCGGTACTACCCATTTTTGGCAGACAGTAACTTGCGCGTGATCAGACAGGGTTAGCGATGAAGCTAGGGCAGCTAAAGCATCCGCCTTCTTGTTTTCTTTCCTTGGCACATGCTGAATAGTCACATCACCGAGCCACCCCATTAATTTTTTAGCGTAATCATGATATGGG